GCTGCAACTCAAGTCTTCAGGGCTGTTCTGAAGGCCAGTAGTAAGAGTGTCCAAACAGTGCCATCACTCCTGATTGCTACACATAGTCTGTATTAAAATCATAGGCATCATCTTCCTCTACTGGCTTATCTAAGCTGAAGGACAGGGAAGTGGAATGTTCACCTTCTGAGAAGAGAAAATCATGTGTTAGTGAAACCAGTGCAAGTGCTGGAGTGCTAGAGACCATCCTTGAAGCCAGAGTTCTTAATACAGACCTGCCATCTGCTCCTCTGAATTTGTAGGGTTTGCTTGTTGTTTTCCAAGCTTTGCTTTCCTGGTGACCTGAACTTTGCTTTCCTACAAGTCAGAGACATCAGAGGTGTGTTATTCAAACATCACTAATGAGATCTCCCATGCAAATGAAACCCAACAGACCCTGAGGATGATGTGGATGTCCCCTTGTACAGCTGGTTAGAAACACACTGCTCAGGCAACTGACTTGGAACTATGTTGTGTCCTTAACTGAGGAAAACAGCCCAACCCTAAGCCAATTAGGTTTAGGTTAATTTGAGTGAAATCAGAGTTGGATCTGAGGTCTTCACTGTAACAATAGGATACAGAAAGAATATCATCATTTTTCACTCTGTGATACTGTGATGAGATCTTAAAAGCAGGACTGTTTAAAAATCAGAAACACTACTGGGATAACACTTTTGATTACAACCAGTGTCTCCAGTGCCTCACTTCACAGCAAGACACTGACTGGGTTCTTGGTGTCAGGATCTAAACAGGTAGAAACCTTAATTTACCTCTTTGACATCATTTTCTTCTTCGTCTTCTTCCACATCATCATCATCGCTTTCTGTAAATCCCTCCTCTTCTTCTTCCTCTTCCTCTTCTTCTTCTTCTTCTTCTTCCTCCTCCTCCTCCTCCTTGGTTCTTTCCATGTTTTTCCACTTTGATCCTTCCTCTATCACTTTACTTTCCTCTATTGTCCCATTTGCCATACCAGCTGACTGGAAAATAATGCTGCTTGCTGGAGTGGGGTATTTTAAAGCTGGCAAAGACATAATTAATTGTCTGTTAAGTCCCAGTCAGACAGCACCAGGTGTAATGCCAACCCTGAGAGGACACATTTTAGTCTTGCCCCCTCCCTGCCATAGCACTCCCACATAGGCAGGCAGAACAAAGGACAATTCTGAGACTGCTAGGAGCTGAAAATCTTAGATTTGAGTATAGGTAAGTTTACCTAAGTAAGTTTAGATTAGATATTAGGAAAAATATCTTTCCTGTGAGGGTGGTGATGCACTGGCACAGGTTGCTCAGAAAAGCTGTGGATTCCCCATCCCTAGAAGTGTTCAAGGCCAGGCTGGATGGGGCTCTGAGCAGCCTGGTCTAGTGGGAGGTGCCCCTGCCCATGGCAGGGGGGTTGGAGTGAGATGATCTTTAAAGTCCCTTCCAACCCAAACCATTCTGTGATTAATGGTAGTGTATCACAGTAACAGTCCTACCTTGAATAGTGTTGCTGTTTTCTTCTTCTAAGTTCTTTAAATTAAAGCCCTCCTGCATTTCAGCTATTTTTTGTTCTGTAAGATATGGTGGTGGTGTCTGAGATCCTGGAGGTTCTGAGTGGTAGCTTATTTTGCCTCTGGGAAATAAAAATCAGCATTAAAAACTAACTAAAGATAACATAGTTAAATCACTGTATTTAAAAATAAAACCCAGAGCACAAAGCTCTGAAACTTCTCAACCTAAATACCCATGTACTATTAGCTGTTTATAGCAGTTTAATAGCTATTTAAATTTGACTCTGAAGTTGTCAACAGTATTAAGTGGATTGCCCACTCCTGAAAGGGAAAAGAAGTGGCATACATTGTCACCACAAATCACCTGCCTGTATAATCATGAGCTGTAAAAGCTGCTGAACAACTTGACCAAGAGAAAAAATCACAGTCAATTACTGATTCTGAGTTACATTTGTTCCCACCCTCAGAATATAGGAATCACCATAAATTTCCACAGAAGATTTGCCACATCCTTTCCTGTGTAGAAGAGAACTACATGGACTTGGTATTTGAGAGGAAGGTGAATTTCCCTAAGAGAGTTACAGCATAAGTCAGCAAGCTGGCTATGGAGTAATGTGCAACAGGCTTTGACTTTTGTCATGTATCCCTCACAACTTTAGAAAATTATCCATGGATGGCATTCCCTAACTCTGTTGGCCAATCCAGCTCTTTACCAAAGTAAAATGTGAGAAATCAAGGGAAAAAATGGAAAAAAGGAAAGGCTCTCCTTTCTAAGTGCTTTGCATGACTTGGAGTTTCTGCTGTGCTCAATTAACAACATGAAAAAGGTGAGCAGCACAGAGCAAAGTTCACAGCATACATACCCTGTCCAGTCACAGAGCACTAATTTAGCTATATTTTCTACATCAGGAACACCTCCCTTTTTCAGCATGCCCCTCTTCTGAGCAAGTAAAGATAAAAACTCCTCAGGGTTCCTGAAATCTGGCATATTGTAGCGCATCATTACCTAGGGCAAAAGAAAATGGCCTGTTCAGAGAGACCCACCTTTCTCTTAGTTTTAGGAATAAAAGAGCAAATCAAATTGCATTACAGTGAGGACAAATGAGAGTGTGAAGAGCTGTTTTTCTCTTGCATGTGGGAGTAAACATTACAAAACAAAATGCCTTCTTCACCAACAAACTCCTTTGCATTCACCCAGACTAGTGCGTGTACAGAGACAGAGCACTGGTCTGTGAAAACAGTCACTGAATGGGAATTAGGCTTAGGTTAATTTGAGTGAAATCAGAGTTGGATCTGAGGTCTTCACTGTAACAATAGGATACAGAAAGAATATCATCATTTTTCACTCTGGGATACTGTGATGAGATCTTAAAAGCAGGTTTGTTTAAAAATCAGAAACATTACTGGGATAACACTCTGGCTGTCAGGATCACAGCATGCTGTTCTACCTTCTCTTGGTAAGGATGAAGGATCACACTTAGCACTGCTACTCTGCATGGTTAGAAGAAAGTAGTGCAGAAACTACCAGAATTAGCTGAAGTGAAAGGAACTTTCATTATTTGGCCTAAGAAACCTACAGAGAAGTGAAATGCAGTGAGAGATGTGGAAAAAGATGGAGCTCACCTGCTGCTTACTGCAGTTATTTATAATGGCATTTACTGCTTCAAGCACATCTGCTGAGCCTGGTTCTTCAGTGTCTATGATACTTCTCAAGGCCAGAGCCAGGGCACTGTTGGAAGGATCTGCAATTATACTTGGACTGTCCAACATCTTTGTCTGCTTATCAATGTGCACAATTTGCATGGACCTGTTCAGAGAGAAATGCACCGTGAGTGGATGATCAGCGAAGGAGTGGTGATGGTGAGGGATGTAAGACACAAAGCTCAGTGTTGGATTGAATATACTTCATACTGACTCAGCTTCAGTGTTTTGTCATCATGTGCTTTGTGTAGGACAGAAATCTAAACCTACAAAAAGTAAGTTTATACAGTGTATCCTCTGGTGAGAGCTTCCATCACACAGATCAACATCTTTCATCTTGCAAATTGAAGTGTGCATTTAAAACTGCACACAAGTGCATATTTTGCACCCAATGGATGGAAGCTGTACACAAACAAAACTCAAGGTAAGTGGAACACAGCAAACAGGGAAAGGAACAGCTTTTATCAGACTCAACTTACTTGGTAAAACCTCTTGCTGTGCTAACATTGCAAGCACGTGCTCCTTTGAGACTGTTGATTATGCTGCTCTTTCCCACGTTAGGGAAACCTGAAGGAAATCACATAAATCCTTGTAAGTTAAATAACATTGATCAAAACTCCATCTTCCAAGTGTCTTTGCTAAGGTGCATCATCAGTGTGAGATCGGAGTTGGATCTGAAGTCCTCACTACAGAAGTAAGACAAAGTGTGTATCCTCATTTCTCACACGGATACAATGACTAGAAAGCCCCTTAGCAAACCCCGTGTTAGCAGTTTTACCCCGTTTGTAACACAGGACCCCAAAGCTTTATGGGAGAAGGAAACTCCTCCTCTCTGTCCAAAAACACTCACCTACTACCCCAACCTGAATGGCTTTGTTTTGAGTCTTGCCATGCTCTTGAAGAAGTTTCAAAAGGCATTTGGTTCCAAAACACTGAGAGGGTGTTGACAAATCAACACGTGCACGTCTTTTTGTGACCTGTTCCTGCTACAGGATTCAAAGGCAAAAAACCCCATGGTCAGGAGCTATTTAGGAAGATAAAATATGTATATTCTGTTTATTGATCTAGATTTATCAATCTACTGTAATTTCAGTGGAAAGAACCCCCCCCCCACTGTACTGCAAAGCTCAGCTGAAGTGTAAAGGCATATCCATCAGTCACAGCAGTGTAATCAAACAAGGGGAAAAGGAATTTTAAAGAAAGAGTTCCTGTTCCTCAACATGCTTCAACATGCATGATTGCAAACACACAACTCACTCATGAGACAGCCTGCAGTGCTCTTACCATAGTCTTGCCCTTCATCAACGTTGCTGATTTAAAAGCAACTGTTGGAAGCTCCTTCTTCAAATAATTCAACCATTTCTCTAAGTTGTCCTTTGGCACTAAATCTGGAAAAAAGAGGAGTTCTTTCACTCTTGTGGATCTTAAATATCACTGTGTGTAGGAAATCTGATGTGGAATTAAAAGTCAGGCCACATTTTGTCCATTTAGGATGTTCCTTTACGACAAATAATGTTTGGCTGAAAATGCTACTAAAGTACCAGGGATGTTCCCCAAAGGCACCCAGTGTCTCCTTTTCCTGCCTAAGCAGAACACATCCCAATTACATTTTTGGCCCCTGTATTAGGTTTTTAAGGCTGGGGTCTTGCTAAAAGACTGTATATGATACAGAGTGATGTTCTGTGAATGATTATCCCACTATCCCTGCAAGGGCTACTCTAATACAAAGTTCCCTTTGCTCTTGCTATTTTATTTTCTGTTTTTTTAGCTGTTGGTAAGTCAATAATTTCCAGCTTTTTTAGTGAGCTCAGAGTTGGAACAAATGTCTTCAATGGAATCTCAGATTCCTTTAAAATCTTCTTCTTAGCTCACCTACCACAGAGCCACACAGTGACCAAGTAACACTCGGAGAAAACCTGTGTTTCTTACCAATTTTGTTCAGAACCAACAGCAGCTTTTTGTTTCCTCCAGAGCAAAGGACAGCTTGCTCCAGCTGAGGACACCGGCAGCCCATCGGATCTCTCGCATCTAAAACCTCCAGAACCACATCTGAGGCCTCAAGCACCTGGGTTAGAAACAAGACAAGACTCTCAAATAAGGCATCGCACACCAGATGACAACAGAAGTTACTGTGTTGTAAACACAGTAAGTTGTAAAATCCCGTAAGTGTTGATGTTTATCACAGACAACCTTTATACTCTCCTGCAGCTGCACAGTCATGCCAAAGAAAGGAAAATAACAAGTGGTCTCATTGCTGACTCTCATCAAATTATATAAAGATAGCTGAAGCACTTCACCTTGTTGAGCTCCCTGCAGAATGATTTCTTTGAATTTTTATTCACTGGTTTTTTAGTCTTTCCTTTAGATTTGCCAGAGGATTCCTGAAGGCACATAAAAACAAAAGCGAATTATTTAAATAAGGATTAGAGTAAATACTTGTGTGCGTACACAGCATGAAAATGTAACATGTAACATCCTGCTTGGGAAGGTGCACTTTCAGAGTGACTTTTAAAAGCTTCACAGAATCAAAATCATACAGGACACCTACCTTTCCCTTCTTTTTAGCTTCTGCTTTCTTTTTAGCTTCCAGCTTCCTCTTCTTTTCATGTTCTTTCTGTCTGTTGAGCTTCTGCTTTTGTTTCAGTTCTTCAAGCTGATTGCAAACAAAATCCAAGCCAGATAAAACATTTTTGAAGGTGGTAAGGAAGACTGTTCTTTCTCCCCATTTCCCTATGTCTGACCCAAGTTCCTGAGACAGGTCAATTAGAAGTCCTGGCTGTCCAAGTGACACTGGGACACGTTTTTTTTGCATCCTACCCTGAAAAGAGTACTGTTGCCTTCAACTGCCTCAAAACCAGAGGCAACCAGCCATTAGCCTGACCCCAAAATAACATTTGTGCAGCAACCACTACAACTGTGCTGCTCCCATGCCACATTACTCCACACTGCAGACAGCAGATCCTTATTTTCTGTATAATCACATCGTGCCAAGATTTAATTTTTAGCACATCCATGCATCCTACCATTGCAAGCAATTTGGAGCACATTAAAAATGACTCTTCCAGCATGTTAACACGTACAGAGAGAAAAAGAAGGTTAAAAATAAAAGAGTCAACTGTTGCACGCTGTACAATCCTGGAAATAAAGATATTATTTTTCCAAAGTATGTGTCTACCAGGACCACCTACAGTCTACCACAACTGCACCTCTGATGCACACACAAAGCTTCCTTGAAGGCAGGAATGGTCTCAGTTCTTGTCCTCTTTGCCACAAGCTGTATTTTACCCTCTGCTTTCTTTGCTCTGCCTCCCGTAGAAGCTCTTCCTTGAACGGTGCAGTGCTGGGAACTCCGGGATCTTTCTTGGGCTTTTTGTGCCCACGTTTCTTGGCCTCCTTCCTGACCTTTCGGTGGTGTTCTCTGATCTGGAGACAGGAACAAGAACACTTGCTCAGTCTAAGCCCCCCCCCCCCCCGAAAAACTTACAGAGTAAAACCCAGCATATTTCTGACCTGCCCGAGGTGGTTTGACTGCATAATGTGTCATTGTAAAGCTACACTTCAATGCACCAGCCCAAAATAATGTAAAACATAAAGATATAAAAAACCTACACTGGAAAACAAATTCCTCACTGAAGCCCAGACTCTTTAACATGCAATATAATACCCTTACTGTGTACGTGTACGCGCGCAACATATTTTAAAATAACACCAAAAAAATGCTGTTAATGTTCTATAGTAACATATAAAAATGCTTTTAGCGGTAAACTATTTAACATGGAGTTTTAATTTGCAGCAGACCCCCCTCCGTTCCCCTATCGCGCACCGTCGGGACTCACCTTCTTCTGGATCTTGTAGCGCTTGTGGCAGCTCAGCCTCTTGCTCGCCTTCCTCAGCTCTGCAACGCACCGGGATCACCGTGTACCGGGATCACCGTGTACCGGGATCACCGTGTACCGGGATCGCCGTGTACCGGGATCGCCGGGTACCAGGATCACCGTGTACCGGGATCGCCGCGTACCGGGCATCGCCACGTATCCCGGGATCCGCCGGGTATCGACACACCCCCCCCGCCGCCCGGGACACGGGCCGAGCTCCGGTGCCCAGCAATCCCCCGCCATTCCCTCGCAGCCCCACGTTTGGATTCCGCCGTCCCAGTGTCCCCGATTCCCCTCTCCCGGTGCCCCATACCACCCCGCGTTTCCCTCAGCTTCTGCTGTCCCCTATTCCCCGCCCTGGCCCCCTGTCGCTCGCTTCGGCCGGGGGCCGGCCCCCCGCGTGCCGCGCCGCCTCCCTCCACCACTCCCCTCCACCGCCCCCCCAGCGCCCCTAGGGCGGCCGTCTGGCGCTGTTCCCGGTGCCGGTGCCATTCCGGTGCCCCCTTTCCGCCCCTCACTCGTCTCCTCAATGGCGCCCGCCACGTGCTCCCGCCTCGCCGGGCGCTGCCGTAAAGCCGCGTACGGCGCTGGCCCGCCGTGGGGGGTTTGTGTTCCGCGCGGGCCCGTGCGCGCATTTGCGGCCCAGCGGCGGCCAGTGTTCGGTGCGGGGCGGTACCGGCGGGACGGGGGCCCGGGCCGGGCGGACTGCCGCCCGCACCCACCGGGGCCTGCCCGGGCGGCGGCGGCACGCCGAGCGGAGCCGGCGGGTTGAGGCGGCGCGGGGGGGAAGGCGCGGGCCCGGAGCCTGGAGGCCCTGCCTCCCTTTGTTGTGGCGGCGGCGGCGTGGCGGGCCGCCCGAGCGCCGCAGCGGCCCCGCCCGCACCGGCCGCGGGGCGCCGAGCGCAGCCTGTTCCCCTGTCACCCACCTCGCCGGCCGCTGGGCCGCGCCGCTGTGCCGGCCGTGGTGCCCGCCGCGTTCCCGTCCGTGTTCCCGTGTCCGGGGCCGGGCCCGCGCTGTCCCCGGGCCCCGGGGTCCCGCCCAGGTGCTGTGGCAGCGCGGGCCGGGGCGGCACCGCCGTCCCGTGGGCCCGGTGCCAGCCCAGGTGTTTTCTTTGTCTGCCGCTCCTCCCGGCGGGCGGTCGGGGCGCTCCGCGGGAATTGTGTGTCTGGCTCTTTGTTTGTTATCCCGGTTTGTTGTCCATGGGTGTGCGGCGACTCGCGCCTTCCCCGGCTCGGTCCTGTTACAGGGTCTGGTTCCTGCCGTCCCCCCGTCCCGTCCCGTTGCGGGTTTCAATGGGATCGGTAACCGGGGGAATTCGGACGCGTTTGCCGCCCTTGTTCCCTTGGCGAAATTTACCGTGTTCAGTGTTTCTGTTGAAACGTGGGAGACTCCGATAACGATACTCGCGGTATCTGTGGGCTTCTAGCTCTTCTCTACACGGAGGCAGAAAATGAAATGAGTGCTAGAACGCAGCAGCTTGTTTTAAGCGTGTTGTGTCAGATGTGCGTAAAACTTGTCCGTGTGGTGAGGTGAGAGAGGGTAACACTTGTGGTGCTCAGTCTGGTGCAGCTTTGGGAGAGACAGCCCTCCACCTGTTGTGTGTGTAGCGGTGTACTTGTGAGTTAGTGGTGGCCAAAGCATTTCTCGAGGAGCCGTCTGTGCCTTTGTGACATTTTTACGGGTGGTGGGAGCGATTCCTGAGAAGATGCTCAAGCTCCTGTTGCACTGGAGGTGGAGATTCTTGGTGTGACTGTTGAGACTTGTGAGCCAACTCAGAAGTTGGCTTCACAGCTAGACTGCAGAAGAGAGTCTAGGAGACGTGTTCTTAAGCAAAACAATATATTTCTGTGCTTGTGATTGTGGAGATCTCCAGGGAAGTTTGCATTTAGGAGCCTCACATTTTTTAGGAGTTTTGCTTAAGCAGATCCCTCACTGAGTATTCACATTGTTGTCCAGACTGATGTGTGTTTTGCATGGTTTTTAGAAGAGAAAAATGTGTTTTGGAGGCTGTGCACAGCGTGCTCAGGGTGTCTGGATCACACAGGTGGTCACCAGTGTCAGCGTATGGCTGAGAGAGAGTGTATGGCATTCATGCCTTGGGTCGTGGATGTGGAGAATCTGCTGTGCACTTTGGAGGCAGATGCTGGTTGGAAGGTCCCCAAATCTTTATTTCAGGGTGGAATTGGACTGAGTGTACTGTTGGGTTCCTAGTTGAACCAGATGTGGCCCCTCCTGCCTTTATTCCACAGTAGGACTGGTGTTTCCTATCAGCCTGCCCACCAGCATGCCTGGTGTTGGCCATTCCAAACTGTAGCCCTTTGACAGAAGTTGGAGGCAGTGCCAAAGCAAGAGGCTGATTGTTCCCAAGATGAATTGCCTACTAATAAAGCACAGAGTTTCTCTGCATGTCTGTGTTATGAAAATGTCCAGAGTGCTGAACAGGAAAAGAGTCTCTCTGGGGTTTGATTGAAGGCAGTGGTTGGATAAACTCCATAGAAGCAAATATTTTGCCATAAAATGGTTCTGTGTGTTTCACATGGAATTTATGGGGGGAAAAAAATAAGGCTTTGAGACTGCTTAGGAATTGAAAGAGAATATCTTTAGTGAGCCTGTGTGGCTGGATACTTGATATTGCTTAGTTCTGAGGACAAAAAGCCACTCTGAAGAGTGATGGAGATGCATCATCACTGTGGAGTTTATGAAATGTTTCTTGACCTTAAGATGATGTTGTTATTGTTATAAGCACTGCGGTACTTTGCATTCTGTAACTTTTACTGCTTTCTGGTTTTTACTCTCAGGTCAGATATCACTTATGTTTACTCTCTGCTCTGCTTGATGAATCATTCTCCAGCAAGTGGCTGTGAAATCTGTGATATGTATTCAGGAACATTAGAGAAATGTATTTTTGTGTGAAAATGACAGAAGTGTCTGGCATTCTGTGTACAAAATTACTTTGTAGAGTTTCTGCTGGGCTAAAAAAAGTTACCTTCTGTT